TATAACCATGAACCCAAAGATAAGGGCAACTCCCAACATGAGTCTCAATCATTAATTCCATACCAATGTACAATAACATCTTGCTAACCAAACATTCACATTTAGATCTATTCGAGATCCACATGATTCCGAGCAGACCTACTGTTGGGGTGAAAAGTTATTCATGGAGTGACTTTGTAATAATTTGACTTGTGAGCACCCACTTTCATATGGGATTGATGCCTTGTGACATGAGAGTGAGAGAGAAAGACAAGTTAGCACCTCTATATATAGTGGATTGCATACCACTTGTAGAGTGTGCTTGAGAGACGTAGTTCATAGAGAGTTTTGAGTGAGTTAATTATGTAGACTAGATCTAGATCCTTTTTGTATGTTCCTCATGATAATCGAATGCATCTTTTAGCACCCAAATCATTGTGTTATTTGTGTTCTTACAATTCTGCATGCTGGCCAAATCAAATGCTCATAATTTACTACATATAGTATCAGAGAGGGTCTTCAAAGATCAAAGTGATTTTTGAAGAAACAATTCTCGATTTACATTCAACACAATTGGAACATTTATGGTGAGACTCTTAATTATCTTTAAAAATCTCTTTGATTCGTGCTTGCGTTATTGAATTTTTGATCATTTGACTCATTAGATCAAAAAAAAAAAAAAATTCTAAGCCCAATTGCTATGATCCAATAAAATTTTCATTGATCAAGCCCAACCCAATCCTATGTTCTTATCTTATCTTTGATTCTCAGTTTGCAATTGTTCATTTTAATCAAAATCTAGCCCGAAAATGATGTGAGTTTGTTATTGTTTGTAACATCCAAAAAATCAGGCCAAATTTGAACTTTTTCAAAACATTTCAAAACCATTAATTATTACAAAACTTGTTTTCAAAATAGTATAATATCAAAGTATCCCATAGAAAAATCATAAACATGAGGAGTTGTAGAATCACGCCTTTGCCTTCCCGCGATCATCTGATGTACCTGAAACAAAAACTGAAACTGTAAACCCAAAGCTTAGTGAGTTTCCCCAAAATACCCACGCCACACAGATATAACCATATCATATAAACATATAAGAAAACTGATACAACATGCATAATGAGCCATCAGTCTAACTGGACCGCCTTCCCAGGCCCTCAGTTTATCTGGATCGCTCTCTGAGCCTTCAGTATGTCTGGACCGCCCTCTCGGGGCCTTCAACCTATCCGGCCTGCTTGTTGGGCCTTCGGCCTAACTAGATTTTCCCAACCCGGGCCTACAGTCTACCCGATCCGCCCAGGGTGTCTTGGCCTACTACAAACAGCAGGACCTGCCTCAACCCTTTCCCCCAAACCAACAAAGATGTGTACATACATATAAACAATTAAGCATGCAAATCTATCAGATCACTAATCATGGAAACCATTGTATACCCAGGATACCGATCTAACTGCTCACTAACATAACAACCATCCTATAACCAGGATACTGATTTGACCGATCTCTAACACATCAACCATCCTATAACCAAGATACATATCATAGAAACCTTGATGCTTACCCTGAGATGATAGCTGATATCGTGCTTCCCCAACTCTATGGACCATTTTGCAAGTCGTCCAGATGCTTCTAGTTCAGAAGCACTTGCTTGATCGAGCAACTAGTTAACACCTCTATCTGATGGGTCTGGAAATACCGACGGAGCCTTCGTGATGCATAGATTAAGGCGAGCACCAGCTTTTCGATGATTGGATAGTTGATTTCGGGTCCCTGCAGGGCCCGACTCATCAAGTAGATTGGAAGCTGCCACCCTTGTCTTTCGACTACTAGCACCGACAAAATGGCATCTTTTGATGCGAACAAGTAGATCTGCAGCGTTTCTCCAAGTATTGGGCTAGCCAGAGTAGGAAGTTATTCTTTTCTATGCACCCTTTGAGTGTATGGAATAGGGGCATGGCTTTTTCGGCTGACTTGGAGATGAATCGGTTGAGCGCCGTTAGTTTTTCATTCAACCCATGAGCGTCTCTTAGCTTGTTTGGCAAAGGCATCTCCTCGAGTTCGCTTATCTTGGCTGAGCTCGGTTGGATTCCCTCCTTTGTCACATAATATCCCAGGAATTGTCCTTCTTCTACCCCGAAGGTACACTTGGCGGGGGTTTAGCTTCATCTTAGCTCTTTCCAAAGTTTGTAGCGTCTCCTCCACATCACATAGTAGCCTCTGCTCGTTTGGGCTTTTAATGACTATGTCATCAACATAGACCTCGATGTTCCTGCCGATTTGGTTGGCAAACAGGGAGTCGACCAATCACTGGTAGGTAGCCTCGACTTTCTTTAATCCAAATGAAATTTTTGTGTAGCAAAAGGCACCGTGATCTATGTAGAAGGCTGTTTTCTCTTCGTCATTTTTTCTCATTAGGATTTGGTGATACCCCTTATACGCATCTAGGAAGCATTTCTACTGGAAACCTTGTAGGGACTCTACCTTTTGGTCTATCTCCAGTAACGGGTAGCAATCCTTAGGGCATGCTTTGTTGAGTTCTGAGTAATCAATACACATCCGCTAACTGACATCGTGTTTCTTTACCATTACTGGGTTGGCGATCCATGTGGGGGAAATCGTTTCCCTAAGGATTATGGCGCTGTTAATTTTGGTAAGTTCTGTGTTGATTGCCTTGTTTCAGTCTCCTCCTCGGGGACCCGCTTCTTCTTCTTTATTTCCTTAGCTCCTGGTTTTATCATTAGCTTGTGTTCTATGATTCCTCGGTCGAACCCTACCATGTCTGTAGGCGTCCAAGTGAACACATGTTTATACTTCTGCAATAGCCAAACCAAAGCTTGTCTCGTTTTCGCAGGGAGGGTCGTCCCCACGTTCACCTGTTGGTCTGGGTATTCCATGTTAATTACCTCTCCCCTGTTTGACGAGTCCGACCTTGGTCTCTTGGCTTCGGCTGAGATGTCTCTTGGTTGCATGATCTTGTAGCATTTGAGCTCCCTTGGGGGGAGTGGCTAGGATTGTTCCCGGTCCATGGCTTGTGATGAATTTAACTATCCCATGGATTGTTGATGAGATTGCTCTGATATTTAGTAGGGTTGTCCGTCCTAATATGACATTGTGTTCTAACAGGTGTCGTATGACCACAAAATCCACCAGGATGATCCGTCGCTTGGTTTTGTCTTGATTGGTTAATGTAAACGGTAAGTGAGTTGTACCTAAGGTCCATAATCTGTGTCCTATTAGTCCTATGAGTTAGCCTGTAGTTGGCCTCAGATCTTCCTTCCACACGTTTGGTAACAATCAGAAACAATGTTCGTAGATGATGTCCGCAGAACTTCCCTTGTCGACGTATACTCGATGAACGATGACATCTTGAATGGATCCTTGGATGATGAGGGGGTTGCCCCCGCTCCAGCCAGTCGGGCTTGGGTCGTTTATGGAGAACGTCAGCCCCTACATTGCTTTAGTGATGCTTCGTGTGTCCACTGTGTGTTCCGTTCTCCCCTTTTGTGGTTGATCGCAAGGATTTCCAACCTACGATCTGCCCTTCCAGTGAAATCTTTGGGGTTTTCTGTATCAAACTTGGCTCGTAGGCTCTTGGCAATTTCTATCACATTTCCCTTTAGTTGCTTTTCCTCAATTTCCCTTTTTAGGACTGAACAGTTGATCATGTTGTGTGTCCTACTCTTGTGGTATTTGTAATACTGCGTTTTAGCGCCTTTTGACGTTGGTTTCACACCGACTGTGTAGACTTCTGCTCGTCTTCCCCACCTCTCATCTTTAACGAAAGGTCTGAAACGCACTGGTAACCGTTTATCTCGTCCTCATGAACCTGCCTCCCCCCAGGATCAGGATGGGGAGTAGGGTGGTGGATTTGCTTTCCAGCAGAGGATGTCATGGCATTGAGATATGCTTGCTTCGATGTTTTGCCTTCCTCTTGGCGTAGGAATCGCTCCACTCGCTCCTTTAGTTCTGCCCTTGTTTGGGGTTGCTTGCCTATGAGTTTCCGGGACGATGATCCTCGTAACAATCCCCAGGTGAATGCTCCTGTGATCAAACCCTCATCGTGCCCTGGAACGTCTAGCGTTGCTTTAGTGAACCTGGAAAAATAGCCCTTAATTGTCTCTCCCTCCCGTTGTTTGCATCCAATGATCCAGTGGCAATCAAACTTGTACTTCCGGAGTTGCATGAAGTTAGTTAGGAAAAGGAACTTCAGCTAGTTAAAATTACTGATGTTGCCTGGGCGCAGTGTCTTAAACAATGTCCATGCGTTGTCATCTAGGGTAGTGGGGAAATATGTGCACCAGAACCGTTCGTCTAGATTGAGGGACATCATGGTCCATTCGTATGTATCGATGTGGCTATCTGGGTCGGTAGTGCCATCATATGTCTTAAGGTGGGGCAGTTTGGTGGTGTTAGGGATTTCGTATTCCAGGAGCTCTTTGACGAACGGCGATGTGACACTTCATGATAAGTAATCTTGGTTTGGGGTTTGCTGAGTGAAGTGATACCATGGTCGTTGTATTGCCAAAAGGGCTGTACTAACATGTTGTTTTAGGCTGTGAGGTCTGGCGTTGTTGAGCCGTAGAAGTTTGACGGTTGAAATGGAGTAGGGAAGGTGTGAGTCATGGGTATTTGTTGTTGGGCAGTGGGTATTTGCTATTGGGCCGTGGGTATTTGCTGTTGGGCCGTGGGTATTTGTTGTTAGGTTATGGGTATTTGCTGATAAAATGCGAGTGGTGATGTTGATGCGGTGCCCGTCATCAATAACAGGTGGTTCTGCGGTTGTGGTGTAACATTTGGGTCGATTATAATGTTGTTCGCATGTAAGCTGTTTACGAAGGGCGTTATGGGTGTTGTTTGGGAATTGCTAGAACCGGTGGTGTTATTCGAAAAATGGAAGCAAAGTGGGTACAATGTATTGGTTAAGCACACCGCTATTTGGCAATGGTGGGGGTGTTGTGTGGGTCGGAGTGGATGATGATGTTTGACTCTGGGTTAAAACTGATTACATGATTGATACAATGGATGGTGGCGGGTCATCTGGTGACGGTGCCGTCATGGGATACGATGGCGGACCACCGGATGATGGTGCTGCCACAAGAGGTGGTGGCAGGCCATCGAATGATGGTGCTAGTTCAAGAGACAGTGGCAGGCCATCAGATGATCGCACTGCTTCAAGAGATGGTGGCGGGCTGCCGGAGGGTGGCGTTGCTTCAAGAGATAGTGGTGGGCTACCGGAGGATGGCACTGCTGAAGTGTTGGTTGCTTCCAATGACGTCATCGGGTGTATCGGGCTATGTGGTGGCTCCGATGGCTCACCCGTCGTCTTCTTCATCAAGTGTGGTTAGGTTGAAAGAGAAAAAGAAAAAAAGGGGTTTGCGTATCTATTGTCACATAAACGGATGCCACCAAAATGATGCAACCTGGCTCCAAACCACCTTGGCTACTGAGAGATGGTCGTCGGAATAAAACCTGAGAGGTCACAATGAAAGAATAAATGTCAGCCGCTCTCCGGGAGGAGGTCTCGGAAAGACGCTCCGACGGTCAACTTAGTAGGATGAATCTGAAGTATGGAGGTGTATGATCGGGGAAGAGAATAACTTCCCTCTCAAGGCAGAGTAATCGACCTTTTATACCGAGGATCGATCCGTACGAGGGATAAGGATTGTGACTCCGACAGGATCTGCCGTCCTTATTGGAGGACTCTGCTCACATTTGTGTCCGGTCCAACGATTGGTCCAAACGATAATGCTCTGGTCGTGCTTTTTGTCGCCTGAAGCCATTATCCTTGGACTGTAGCTAAAGGACAACGCTTGGCAAGGGCGGACTTCCTATGCGGTCGCCTCGTGGAAGTCTGGGGTTGCCAGAGTGGCGGAGTCGTCGGCCCGAGCTTCGCTAGGAACTCCTCGCCGGGCGTTCGCTTGTTTTTGGCCCGCTTTGAGGGGCGCATCATCAATAGCCCGACTTGAACCGGTTGGTTTTTTCAAAAAACTTGGTTGAAATGTTAACATGGAACCGCTAAAAACCCTGGGTTGAATTTAGGGCTTCAAATTTCAATATCTAAGTTAAGCCAATAACGACTTTGGGCTTAAAAGTCTAAAATCAGGTCAATCAATTTGCAGGAAGGTTAAAATGAGCTACTTTAGTTCATTCATATATCTCATTTCTAATTTTGAAATGTAAATCCACAACTGAATTCAAATAAATACTCATATTTAAAAGGGTATTAGTAATAAATATTATGGTGTCGGAAATTAAAAAGAAAAACATTGATCAAACCCAACATCCACTCAAAATTTGAAAACTTTATATTCCCATAATACAAAAACAAATAAGTGTTTACAACCATAAAACATTATAGTTGTTTAAGTTTTAAATTATACGTAACTCGATTATCACTTTCACCAACTTAAATTTTAGTAATGGCTACTGACTCAAGGGTTTTGATAAATAAAAAATAATCAGAATATATTGATCAACTAATTATTAATACTAAATAAATATAAATTAAAAAACATTTAAAAATTTTAAACGGTCTGGTTGTAAACGAATTTAAAGTTTCAATCTAACCTAACCCATTTAATTAAACGAATATACGGTTTAGATGGGTTGATACATTTAATGAGTGATCTCAACCCTATCTGCTATTTATTAGGTTGAATTTGAGTTGAATTAATGGATTTGAGTTTGGGATTGCCACCACTACCACAAAGGGTCCTTGAAATCAACTTTCTTTCCATTCAAAGTCCACTCGTTCAATTTGAACATGTTTTCCTCATCCATTTACAATTGTCTATTTTCTATTTTAGTTTGGAAAGAAATATATCTAAACCAAGCCGATCAAACTTTTAGACCTATAAAATTTCATGGCCATTAGATTACGACATCAAATTAAGGAGTCAACAAAATATGCAATTATGTTTATTTGTGATCGAAACTACCAAAATTGTCTGAAATGAGAAAGTAAAGTTATAATGGTACACAAAGTTCATATAATGCCTATATTTGGTGCGAACATATACTGCTATTAAGTTCCATAAGTTTGATACTTAAACATCACAATAGATCTTACAAAACTAAAGCAATTCACAAAACATCAAAAGTTTGAAAATTATTACATATAACATAGATAACATGTTCATCATCAATTAAATCTAACAAACATGACCAACTTCACAAGTTCTTTTCTATGTCCTCTCTTCTTGCATAACCCACATGTGATCACTATCCCGACCTTTCTCGCTTTAAACTTACTAGTTCTTAACTATCTACACATAATTCATTCAAGAAAGGGTATGAGTGTCGAACATTACGTGTCACCCTTTGGCCTTCTCCTTCACCTTCACGATCAAATAAAAACCATCATCTAGAATTTCATCTTTTTTCTCTTATTTATACGTCGACATTATGAATATTGTGTTTTGAAAAAAAAAAAAAAACTAAAAAAATTGGTTATGGTTATCATTTTTCTCTTATTTATACGTCGACAACAAAAATACATAGGAGATGAAACAAACTAAATAAAAAGTAAAAACAGTTGCTTATTTAGTTTAGTTTAGATATATGGATTCGTTGTATTGTTTTCTCAACAAAGCAAACTTTGACCAAAAAATTCTTAAGGGGCAATATCGTCTTTTTCTACATAATATCCCATGCCTGGAAGGTCACATTCTTGTTGTCACAAGTGTATAACATAACCCCCACCACAACCAAAGAAAGGCGTTTCTCCTTTTCGGAATTTCGGAAATCAAGACCCATAGGATTGCCCGACTCGGAGTTTCCTATCGTTTATCAAATTGAGGTTCGGGGAATTTCATAATATTGGGTAGATTTTACATTAATTCATGTCAGGTAAGTTCAATCCATCCCTTCTTTTACTTGTTTTCAAGTTACAGTAGATCTTGCTGTCATGTTCCATCTATTTCTGTTTTTCGATCTATGTCTTCCCGTTTCGGTTTAGGGGTTTTGATCATCGTCGTTTTCTGGTGATCGCTTTGGTCTTAATTTAATTTCTGTAAATTCCAACCATCTTCACTTGCTATTAGGTGTTTCGCTTTCGATCCTTATTATTTAGGTAAAACCATGACGAAATTTTGCAACACGACCATTCACGGGTTTAGCTAGGGTTAAGGAGTGATGGAATTAATTGATATATTTCTTTAGGGTTTGTATGCTGGTTAATTGGGAAAACCCCCTTTTCGTCATCGCCTAAATTGTCTTTCAATGCTTCAAAAGTACTCAATCGCATACAGACGCTAAAACGATGCAAATCCACCAAGCAATTTAAGGGTGTGACAATTGGCCCTTTCAACCATTGTATTATATTAGGGGAAATGATGATTGTGGTGATTCAGGGCTATGCTTAAGATAGCAGTGTGTCAGAGAGGAAGCGTACTTTAGCAAAGTGGCATTTTTAGTTCAAACCCATGACATTTTCACCATATTATTCAATTATTGTGTGAGTTCTTTAAGTACTGGGATAAGATCACTGCTAAAATACATATGGTTGAGCTGTTAATACTACTTGGAGACCTTGTAAAAACGCCTCTAAATATACAGAAGTAAAACAGGAGTTCTGGAAAGCTGAAGGCCCATAACATCACTAAAATTTTCTCTTTATTTTGTTTTGATCGATTTCTAGTTTCTATAAAGTAATATTGAGTTGCATCTTTATCAACATCCTTTCTTAGGTATGTTTTCACATTGGAATTGTTTAAAAATATCTACAATGCTTACAGGAAATAATATTTTCTTGAGGTGAATCCCAAAGTAAAGAACAATCCACCACTTCTTTTTTCATCCATCATTTAAATCCTTGAGATGGCTGAAAGAGCATGTGTAAAGCGTCTTCAAAAGGAGTATAGAGCACTTTGTAAAGTATACCTTCTTGTTTTCTTTTTTAGTATCTATCCATTATATTTATAAAATCTTAATTTATGTTTTTAAAACATGTTTCATCTTCTTTCTGTATTCAATTTCAGGAACCTGTTTCACATATTGTTGCTCGCCCTTCCCCAAATGACATTCTTGAGTGGCGTAAGTTTCATCATCATCATCTGATCATCATTAGCATCATCATCATCATCATAATCATCATCATTTTTTTTTCAGCACATTATTTATAAATGTGTGATGCAAATTCTTTTATTTCTATTTTCAGATTATGTATTGGAGGGAAGCCAGGGGACCCCTTTTGCAGGTGGATATTACTATGGAAAAATCAAGTTCCCTTCAGATTACCCATTTAAACCTCCAGGAATCAGGTATTTACAAAACATGACCTCAGACTTCCATTATTAATCTTGAAATGGATTCTGATTAATATTAACTTCATATTTTTATTTACATTCTTGTAGCATGACCACTCCCAATGGTCGATTCATGACACAAAAGAAAATCTGCCTATCAATGAGTGATTGTAAGTCCTTAAAATTTAATTTTTTAAAAAAATAATAATTAATTACACTAACTAATATTCTTTTTTTTTTTTTTTTTTTTCTTTCCATTTCCAGTCCATCCAGAAAGTTGGAACCCTATGTGGTCTGTTTCAAGGTAGCATTAGACTTAAAAATAAATCAGTTTTATTTGTTTATTATTGTTATTATAAAAAATCTAATGCTTTTTTTTTTTTTTTTTCTATAAATATTATTATTATCGTCATCTTTATGACATTTTCTTTGTTCATTTCTCATTCAGTATCCTTACAGGACTCCTGTCCTTCATGGTGAGTTTAGTTTACATTTTCAATTTCAATTTTCTTTTCCCATTATTTATTTTTATATTTGTCAATAAATTTTAATTTATTTATTTAGATGGACAACAGTCCTACCACTGGTAGTGTGAATACAACTGTTGCAGAGAAGCAACGTCTAGCAAAAGCATCAATGGCCTTCAATTGCAAAAAGTCAGTTTCCTTTCCTTTTTAATAAATTACCATACTACCCTCACATTCCAAAACACAAATCTCATAAACTGTAACGATTTTATTTATATTTATATACATATTTGTTGACAGCCCAACGTTTAGGAAACTGTTTCCTGAATATGTGGAGAAATATGAAGAACAGTGGGTATCAGAACAAGCTGTTGTGGAAGAGGTGGAGGGATCACCTGTGGTTGCAAGGAAGGAGGAGAATTTACAACCATTGGTGGAGAAAAAGGAGGTGAAGAGAATGGAATTGGCAAAGGAGGAGGAAGTCAAACAAGCCCGGAAACAGTCATTCCCGACTTGGATGCTGCTGTTGCTAGTTTCATTTGTTGGTCTTGTAATGGCTTTGCCTCTGCTTCAACTTTGATTGTTTTTTTTTTTTTTTTTTTTTTTTAACAAAAAAAAAAAAAAAAGAATTTAGTAGTTTCTTCAGGATGTCTAGTCCTGGTGATGTTACAAACTTAAGTGGGTTTGTGTTTTTAATGGAGTTAAAAATGCTACCGATTTTAGTATTATAATAGTCGAATCCGGTTGCATAATGTTGGAAGAATTGGATATGTTTAATCCTTTTTTTCGGGATTTTGGTTGTGTATATGTATATGCATGTTTCGTGCAGTGTTTGGAATTTTAACATAGTGCTTAAAACGACTGAATAATTAATGTATTGATAGATATAGATTTTTCTTTATTGAATTGGATACATTATAACAATATATAGGAGTAAAAAAAAAAAAAACATTTACGTTAACAACACAAGTAGTAACATATGGATGTGGAATCAACATTTCATTTCGTAAAGCAATATGAACATAAGTATACATCTTCACTTGAACAAATTGAGTTTCTTCCTCGATAGCTTCTTTAACATCTTTACTTGAACACCTACAATAGTATTCTTGAGTTTCATCAACACCAAATACTTCAACAAGAAGATGATGTCAAAAAGCAAACAATATAAGACACCAAAGTAACACTTGAAAACCAACATTGACTTGAAAAATCAACAACTTCTTCCACTACCTTTCTCCCACCTCTAACCTCTTATGTTACCTAATGAAGTACCCAACATTTTGTCTTCATATAACAACATATTCAAAAAAAATCATTTGCATTTTTGTTTATGGAAACTTGTAACTCACTTAAAGTTCATAATTTTGAAAAAAAAACCTAACTATTAATTGTTCATCTTCATTAGTCAATTAGCATATTATATGAAGGGTCCCATCTTGTTCACTATAATCATTGTTGATCTTTTTCCTTGAATAAAATGTCATTCTTTATTCCTCGACATAAGTGCACACTAAAAACAACATTGTAAATTTTCTGCAAAACATATACTTTTTTAGCCATTAAGTACAAGGGAAGTCTAATGTCTTTTTATTTTTATACGAGAACCCTCGACCTCCAAAAACCCATATCCTTTAAAATTAAAAAAAAAAATCGGTATTAATTTATTCTGGTAATTCCTTTTTTCACAAGTTAGAATGCACGTCATTTTGTTTCTTCTAATGCTAGTCACATAGCTTGATTTGGAAATTTAACAAATTTGAAATCGTTTCATGAGAAAGAAAATTTCAATCTTAGCTTTTATTTTATTAATTTTTTAATAAAAGTAGCAAATAATTATATAATTTGGAATGTAAGTTGAAAGTGTGGGCCATTTCCCCCTAAAAAGGTAAGAAAAAAGCCCCTGTATACCGGATCCTACGGCGCATAATAAGCTATGTATGCCACTATAACTCTATAACCTTCTTCCTCATTTAGATTTACATACTAATTTACGCAATCGACTTAATCCATACAGTTTTCTTTCGTCTTCTTCTTCCCATTCCTCCATAAGGTATACATAACATTTAAGAAGCAACTACCTTTTTTTGTTCATTAATTAGTCCTTCGTTATCATAAACTCCTGTACTAGGGAAGCTATTTCGTCTAGCTCATTCATTATATGTCATTAAATTCCGTAGACAGAGGGTCATTTCTCACTTCTTATCTATACCCAATTGCCCATTAAACATTCGTTGATTTGTCAGTATCATTTTCTAGAATCAGTGGTCCAACTGTTCTTCATTATCTTATCTTTCAGGTTAATAATGAACGAGTTTGACCCAGAGTTGGATTTTGCACAGGTATTCACATGACCTGCAATCTCATATATTATAATGTTTATTCGTAAGATGTAACGTTTTGAAATCTGATGTTTGTTTTGATCAGTTCTTGGAGGAAGCAAAAACAAATGCATTAGAAGAAGGTCGAAAGGATTCAAAGGAAAAAACAAAGGCTAAAAGATCATGGAAAGCTTCTATTTTTTCATGGATGAAAGCCAACAAGAAAGAGGAACAACAACAACTAACGATAAAAACCGAATACAGAAACCCCACAAGAAGACAAGGGTATGTTTCAGGCCCAATAAATGGGGTCAAAAGCTGCAAAACTCAACGACTTAAACGACAAAGTTCAGGACCTTTATCGGGTCTATTTTATCAAAGAACGAAAATGGAAGAGTTTGAGATGCCATATACATCACTAGGGAAGCTTAATAAAAGTCCTGAGAATCTTTCAAATTATGGTCCTGTATATTTGGTGACATAGTGAAAATATATCAAAGTCAGATTCGATGAAATTTGTAATCTTTTATATATCTTTATTTTGGAATTTTGATGGGGTTGAGATAATGAAAGGTTAGTTTTGGTGATTATAGTGAGTCAACTCTCTGGATTCCACACGTAACAATGTAACCGTTGCTTGCAAGCAATTCAAATTTACTCATTCGTATAGCTAAAAGAGGGTAATTTTCGATTAAGATTCAAGAATACAACTATGATTTCTAAGCTAAAATATATTCAATACCTCAAGAGAACATCTTTAATCAATGTGTTCATATACAGACTTGTTTAAGAAGAAGAATAAGAAAACATAGCAGGAGAGGTTAACCGAGTTAGCATCCTCTTCACCAGCTAATTGGGCAAAAATATTAAAAAAAAGAAAAAGAAAAGATGAAGAAGAAGAAGAAGAAATTTTGATCATAGATCGCTTCTGGTTCTTTGTTCGACATTGGTAGTAGCGGGACCAAAGGGGTTAATAAACCTTCTACTGCCGCTCAAAATTCTTTTTAATGATCTCATTCGATATGAAACTGGTGATTTTTGATCTTCATCATCGTCGATCTGTTGTGGTATGTCGATCACTAAAACTGGTCTTAATTGGTTGTTAATGGCGTTTGATGGTGAAGAAGAAGATGGTTCGGAAGTTGAAATTGGTGTTTGATGATTATTGGCTTCTTCGAATTGAGAAGTCAACGTGCTAACTTCAGTTTCATCTCCCCAAAACAGGATATTTGTTGGGAAAGTTTGTGAATCCCCGTTTTCTGTTGATTCTTCTTGTGTTTGACGAATTTCAAGCAAATGCTCGACTGAAATTTCAATCTGATCGGAAACAGGGTCTCTGCAAATCGGACAGGTCGAATGTGAATGAAACCACATATCAATGCATTCAACATGAAATCCATGGCTACATTTTGGTAGAATTCGAGTTTTTTCTCCTTCATCGAGCTCTGATAAACAAACAGCGCATTCTAATCCATCTTTGAAGTCTTTCGGGTCGAACGGAATAACCGGTATCGTTTTCAAGAATGAGGGGTTCAATCCACGCCGGAGAACGGTGACACCAGATTGCTGTTCCTGGTGACCCGCTGTAAAATCTCCCCGACGACGGCGACGGAGGGTGTTGGAGCCGTTCTGGTTTTCCTCACGGCGGTGCCAGAACCACTTGGTGTAGAGGTGAACAAAGAAAACGAAGATCAAAACCACAGACAAGACTACGATTGACACTATCAAGATTTTTCCGGCGAGCTCTATCACATTCGAATCATGGTAACTGCTCATCTTAGATCGAGATTCGTATATTTTCAGTAAAGCTCAAAACTTTTCCGTTGGGTTTCGGATTTAGAACGAAGCACGACAGGAGATTTAGCTAAAAGCTTGGAAATTAGCAACGATTTACATAAATCGCGGAAATCTTCGACTTTCTTTGGGTTTTTTTCTCAAGAAAAAGGGAACCCAGATGAGGATTTATGGGTTTACGAGATGAAATTGAATTGGGGAAGAAGATAAGATGGGACCTCAACGAGTTGCAACTGTGGCTGTTTGAAAAGTCTGGCAGAATTTAAGGAAGAAGAAGAAGAAGATGATGACGATAATTGAGTCTTGAATTGAAGAAAATGACATTAAAAAAAAATCTATATTTTAGAAGTCGACTCAAACAGTGTGGAGCCGTTGTATGTAGGTGACCAAAGACGAAGGAGGATTCAAATCCCTATCCCTTCATATCGTGTTCATATTGTGTTCTTGTTTCGATTTTTACCCTTTGACTAGTGTTATCATTGTGACACGTGTCTAGTCTTCTTAGAATTTTAATCTTTTATTTTTAAATAAATTGTTGCAGAAAATTCTATTGTTTGTTTTCACTCTCTTTTCTAATTTGAAGAAAACCGTTTTTTTTTTATTGGTCGATTGTTACCATAGTTTTAAATGTCAAATAAAGTCAATTAAGCTAGTAATAGGCCACATGATCATTACTCTTCTAGCACGAGCAAGAAAAGAAAAGAAAAAGAGATTAAAGCGTTAATAAGACTCGTTTAATTTGAAAAACAGTTGAACGCAAATTTCGTTTGAATCGTGTTTAATGGTGTATAATTGTATAAAAAAAAAAAGGCATCATATACAATAACTTTTTATAGGATATTTATTCATGATATGTAAACTTTTTATAGGATATGTATTCATGATATGTAAATGATTATAAAACTATGATTATTTTTCATAGTTTTGCTAGCACAAGTTAAAAGATAATAATATTATAAGGTTTTAAGAGAATCATGATAGACATTTGTTAAATTACTTTCAAACTCCAACTTATGTTTGAATTAATTTGAATTCTCGATACGTAAAATGCACAAATATTTATTTACTTTTAGAATTCTTGTATTTATTAATTGAAAATTATGTTAAAAAAAGTTTCTTGGGGCACCGAAAAGCACACACAAGGTAGGCTGATTAGGGGCAAAATGATGCTCCCAAATCATATTTGCAGAAACCGTGCTTCTTTTTCATGATACCAACACCCCTGTAATCCCAAATAATGCCTTAAGAATCTCATTATTTTGATTAGAAAACGTTTTTTACATTCTTTTAACCAAATTATATGTAGAGTAAATTACAAATTGGTCTGTGCTCTTAATTTTAGCTTTATCTGTCACTATGACCGGTCCTGAAAAATGAAATATTCTTAAAGGTTCAGAGCGAACAAGAAAAAAATGATCATTATATTTATTATAATTTTGCATTTTTAAATAAAAATATATAATGAAAAAAATTTAGCCATATACAGCTGCCCACTTTGCCCCCCTCTAAGCCCCCCATGATGTCACCTATTCATAAAATAGTGACCATTCTCAAATACCACTCAAAATACCCTTAGATCAAACTTAGTCAAAGTCAACTATAGAAGGTTGCCATGTCATGGCTGCTAAATGGAAATACAGTCGAGTCTTAGCCTAGCTGTGGGCATTAGGTTCTGAAACAACTTAATGGATTAAGTCAATTTCCTTGATCTTATGAGCTCCAAAGCCTAGATCTGGTCCATTCTAAGGTCCAAGTGGATAAAGTTTCTAACTTAATCCTTATAGACTTTCTAAGGGATAAAGATACCCATTTCTACACCTAAAAGGGCAGGAACAAAGCTTGGCTTATCCAATTAAGCACTTTCTCTTGAAGACAACTAGATCCCTATTTCCAAAACGTTTCTAGCATCAAATAACAACACAAAAATCCTTCATTTCTAGACACGCATGTCTAATGCATGTATTGGACTATATTAACTCAAAATGATCGTTTTTAGCCATGTCTTCCATGCATGATGCTAAAACTCAATGCTATTCTAGATCCAAAGCATCTAAGGTCCAAAATAACTTGGAGATTCATAAACTTGCAAACTTTATGAGATCTCACCGCCAAAAAATCATGGACATGATGATTAAGGCATATAAACCAAGATCTATGCACTTTAAATGAAAAAAATTCGAAGTTGGGGACTTATAAGAGTCCATAAGATGCACAAGAAGATGGTGAGAAGAGTTGCTTGTAGAATCTAGGCCTAATCATCACCTCCTTCTTCTTAAATTCCCAAAAATCAACACAAAAGGCTTGGAGAGAAAAAATGGAGGTTAGGGTTTGCTTGGAGGCTGAGAGAGTGATGAAGGCTGAGGGTGAGCAACCCTAGCCCTCACATTACCTTAAGTACGACGCAAACCCCAAAAATTAGGGTTACTCATTAAACAACTGCCATGTCGTGGCCTTAGGCTGCTACTTTGTGGCGGCCATTTAAAATCCACGATACAACGACTATTTCCACGTCGCAGGATTCCTTCACCATGACGTGACACTACCCAAAATTCAAAAATATAATAAATTAAAATACCTCCAAGAATATGAAAGTTACAATTCTCCCCCTCTTGAATCAAACTTCATCCTTAAAGTCTGCTGGTGCAAACAACTCTAGGTAATGCTCCCTCATCTCAGCCTCGGATTCCCACGTCTACTCGGAACCCTTCTGATCATGTCACTAGACCTTGAAGAATGATACCACCTTGTTGTGCAAAGCCTTCATCTTTTGATTTAATATCACCACTGGTCTCTGAATGTAATTTAGACGATCATCAACCTGAACATTATCCAAAGGAATAAACACTGAATCATCAGCCATACATTTCTACGGCTACGAAACATGTAATGTGTTGTGAATCTGACTGAGCTCCTTAGGAAAATCCAATCCATAAGCTACCTTGCCAACCCTGGAAGTCGCCCGAAATGGCCCAATATACCGGGGCCCTAACTTTCCCTTCTTCTTGAAGCGTATTACACCTCCATGGTGATACCTTCAGCAAAAACATGTCACCGACCTGAAACTCCAACTCAAATCGACGCTTGCTGGCTTAACTCTTCTACTGACTCTGAGCTGTCTGCAACCTATGTCTAATTTGCTGAATAAGCTTTATTGTTTGAAGGACTACCTCAATCCTTCTCATGACCTTATGACCAATCTTTCCCTAACATACTGGGCTACAACACTTCCTCCCATAGAGAAGCTCGAAAGGCGGTGCACCGATACTAGAGTGATAGTTGTTGTTGTAAGAAAAATCAGCCAAGGGAAGGTAGGAGTCCCCACTCCCACCAAAGTCTATGACATAGGCTCTTAACATGTCCTCAAGTGTCTAAATGGGCTGCTCACTCTGACCGTCAGTCTGCGAATGATAAGCAGTACTAAGATGCAACCTCATACCCAGTTCCTCATGGAACTTCTGCCCAAAACAAGATGTGAATTGAAAATCTCGATCAGATACAATGGAGACTGGAATACCATGTCGAGCAACAATCTCACATAGATACAAATCGGCCAATTTCTTGGCTGAAGAACTCTCTCGAATGGCTATAAAGTGAGCGCTCTTGGTCAGACGGTTCATGATAACCCAATCATGTCAAATCCCTTAGCCGTCTAAGGTAACTTCGTGATGAAATCCATAGTGATATGTTCCCATTTCCACATAGGAACATCCAATGGCTACAACTTGACATGCTGCCTCTAGTGCTCAACATTTACCATCCAAAAGTTCAAGCACCTCTTAACATACTAGGCTATATCTCTCTCTTCATGCACGACCACCAAAAACTAAGCCTCAAATCCCGATACAACTTGGTGGCTCCAGGGTGTATTGAGAACCTGGACTTATGTGCTTCTTCCTCCTACACTATTTGTCTTATCCCGCCAAAGTCAGGCACCCAAACCCGTCCATATCGGGTCAATAACCCATGACGGTTAGTAGCGAACTTGTCAACCATGCTCATGAGTCTCTCCTATTTCCAATTCTCCTTATTGATTCCCTCAACCTGATCCTCCCTGATCAGATCAAGAAACGGAAAATCAATCGATATTCTCATACATAGACTCCCTTCAACAGAATTAGCTGTCTTGCGGGTTAAAGCATCAACAACTACATTCGCTTTCCTCGGGTGATACAGGATCTCACAACCATATCCTTGACCAAGTCAAGCCACCTACGCTATCTCATTTTTAGATTCGGCTGATTCATGAGATTTCTTAATCTCTTATGATCTGCGTAGATAGTATATCAGACCCCACACATGTAATGCCGCCAAATCTTGAAAGAAAACACTACTCTTCCCAACTCTAAATCATGTGTCGGATATCGAACCTCATGCGACTTCAGCTGCCGAGAAGCATAGGTAATGACTCTCCTACACTACATAAGCACCGCTCTTAAACCAGTGATGGATGCATCATAAAATACCACAATATTGTCAACACCCTCAGGGAGGGTCAATACCTACCACAATATTGTCAACACCCTCAGGGAGGGTCAATAACCGTGTCTCATTGTCTCAAATACAATATACTACTTAGGCCCCCAATGGGATTGCATGCTCTTCCTCTTCATACGAGTGAGGGGTACTGTAATCTTGGAGAAGTCCTGAATAAATCTCTGATAGAACCCTGCCAAGCCCAAGAAACTCCTGATTTCCAAAAGGAGACTTTGAAATCTCCCACTGCATCACGACCTAAAATTTGGCCAGCTAGACGAAAATCCCATGCTGGTTAATGAGTTTCCCCAAGAATAGGACCTCTCTTAACCAAAAATCAAACTTCGAGAACTTGGACTACGACCGTTCTTGCCTCAAAACCCTTAGAAGCTATCAAAGTTACTCCTCATGCTGCTCCTTGGTCTTGGAATATACCAAGATAACATAAATGAAAATAATAACTGATCGATCAAGCATCATACTACACACCCGATTCATTAAATCCATAA